GCCTGCACATGGCGCAAAACCCCAGCCATTCAACCATCCAACCATCCAGCCAATTTGCCATTAAAGTCAAGCTGTTGGGTGTATGTTTGTGTGTTTGGTTTGGTATGTATGTTTATTTGCATGCATGTGCCTGTGTGCGGTAATGCTTTATACATCACTAAGTGAGGTGTGTAGCACAGTGTTATTTATGCATAAGTGTTCTCAGCCTCAATGCACGCTTCAATTTGGTCGTTTGTATTTAAACTTAACGAGGCAAAGGATGCAATGCAAGCAAACAAGCCACATGCCATAATAATAATAATAATTTAAATAATTATTGATTTCAATAAATTTTGTGCACACACACACACACATATGTATACAAACACGCTGTAGGGAAACTCACAGATGGCGCCTAAAAGCTACCTACGTACATAGTTCTGTAAACTATAGAAGCAATGTGTATTCGGTAAGATTTATATTATCATTACGCAGCAAAAGCAATAAGAACATACCATCAATAAAATCAACTATGGCATATTCACAAACAATTGCTTCGGACTGCATTTAATTCGGTTGATGAAGTTCATTGGCGTTCTAGACAATTCTGTATTACCATATTACTTGTCTAAATTGTTGGCCGACTGACCTAATCAATTATTGTAAGTGGATAGCCCCTGAAAGGTAAGTAAAATATGTAATAACGTGTTATGAGGATGTATAATGCCGCGGCTGGGTTATTTTGTTAATGAAAATTCTTGCAAATACGGATATGGTAATCGAGTCCTAAGTCTAAGCCATTTTAAGAGCTTGGTTTTAATTTCCTGCAATGAAAAAGAGGAAACGTCAATTTCAATCACTACTGACGAGCAGGATACTATACCTTTTCATAAAGCTCTCATACGAACAACATATAGTAGTTCAAAACAAGTAAAAAAGCTAAAGTCGGGTGTCCCGACTTTGAAATACTCTGTACATATGTTTACAATAATTATAGAAAATAAAAAAATTAAGAAAATAAAAAAAAAATTTGATCGATTTTACCTCTCTCGGTATTCGAACTCACGTAAAGGGTTTATAATTGCACATTTACATAGAAATTGCGCCTGTGTGAGTGTATGTATGCCTATGCGCATCTATTCGTGTCTGTGTAAGCATTTTCGCAGTCAACCAAACAGCAACATCAACAACAGCCGCGGGCAGCGCTTGAGCAGCGCTGCAGCAGCGCTGCATCAGCAAATATATTTATGGCTATAACTTCTTGTTAAATCGGTCTATCATAATGAAATTTGGCATACGGACACATAATAACCAACTGGGGGTATTTCCAAAATTTTAGTTCGAAATTCCAAGAATTACGGGAGTTACGATTTGCGGGGTAGAGGGGGGAGGGAGGGGAATTCCAAAATATACATTTTCTGCGTATTCACATAAGGCATCTGGGACATTTGGGTTCCTAGGCATTTGGTGTTCCTAGGTCTTATAGTCTCCGAGATATAGGCGATTATACGAATGGAAAATCGGGAAAACCCCCATAGGGGGGAAGTGGGGGGGAAAATCAAAAAAATAAAACAAACTCGTATAGAATACACACATAACGCATCTTCGTGCAAAATTTGGTGTCTCTATCTCTTATAGTCTCTGAGATCCAGGTGTTCATACGGACGGACAGACGGACAGACGGACAGACAGACAGACAGACAGACAGGGCTAGATCGACTCGTCTCGTCATGCTGATCAAGAATATATATACTTTGTGGGGTCTGCCACGCCTCCTTCTGCCTGTTACATTTTTCAGCTCCCGCAAACCTAATATACTCTTGTACATTTCATGTACAGAGTATAAACAGTTCTAGAGTTAAAAAAAACTTTTTCATTTCTAAAAGTATGGGAAACGCATAGAATATGTGGAATGTTTTAGTCATACTTATAACTAATTAAAGAGCTTGGCAAACAATTGAAGAAAAAAAAAGTGTCATCTTGTGTGGTCACATTACAGCACTTCATTTGAGTAGTTTCAAAATAAGGTTTTAGTGGCTGAATGGCCATATAATTGCGCACAAATTGTGCATCAATTAGCTGCTGACAACAACATAATGACAACAAACTAAATGCCTTAAGCAGCCTCAGCTGAACCGCACACCTTGTCGGTGAACAACCATCGACTACCGACTGTCGACTGCACCCATTTGTCGCTGCAATTACTTTGATTAATGGCGGTTTTGCACCCAATGAAAAGGCTTGCGGTTTGTGTTGACCTGCAATCGGCGTAGCAAATTGCAGCGGCCTAGCCGAGCCGGGGACCTCATCGGGCAGAAGGACAGACTGGCAGCACTTTTACGTTGTCGGGGTGGAGCAGTGAGGAAGCAAGCTTCAGCAACAGCGTAAGCGACACGAACTTTTTACAACTTTTCAAATGAAAATTGCAAACGCAAATTAAATTAGTCGAAACTATTTTGCCATTTCCGTGGTGCCGTTGTGTGGAAGTCAAGTTCGTGACGCGCCGCATTTCTAATTAGATTAGGGAGCGGCCTAACTGACGTCTGACGTGCCCCCAGAAGGACACAAATGGTCATACATTCGAAGTCGTGACTGCTTGCGCGTGGTGCTCGATTTGATTGTCAGTGTTTGTTGTTGCTCTTAGGAAAATATTTTTAATTGAAAAAATTCTTCAATTTTGCCATTTATCTGCTCAGAACATTCAAATGAAATTAGCCAGGGCCTCATTTTCCTCATTTCTGGGCGTGTATAAATGTATGAAGGTGTGAATGTGATTGTGGATCTGAGGGTGTGTTTGTCAACTTTTCAATTTAACGGGCATAAAAATGCAATCTGCCAGCTAATTATGCACGAAAAAAATTATATATTTTCCAATTACGTACAAATGTTGCATAAACTTAGACGCCATTCCAATTGAAACTCATTTCCCACTGTACGTGTATGTGAGCTGAACTTTAATTAAATTGGCAATGAATGAGTATAGAGTAATGAGTAACTGATGAGAAGGTGCCCACATTAAATAATACTGAAGTGAGTCGAACATTGGACCTGACAGGTGGCACTTGCTGGCCTGATGGTTTCCCTCCCCACCTCCCCTCAGAATCATTCACTCACAATAGTCCCTATTTTAGAGCAGTGGCAAAGCTTTGTCTTGCATTTCACGGGTTTTGTGCAAACGAAATGACGATAATTAATCATTTGCTTTTGTGGTTTTCATTCTCTCTCTCTCTCTCGCTGCGTGCTCTGTCATTTTCGCTAGCGCGAAATCAGCGTGGATTTTCATTACTCATTATGGCCAACACTTTTATATGCGATACGCTTTTACATGGTTGCCACATATACGCAGCAAAAGGTAGCAAAGGAAACTTGAGGAAAATAAAAAGGTGCTGACTGTACCACTGCTGGTTAATTTAATTAGAAACCGCATCAGCTGTACTCTCCATTCCTCCTCCTGTTAATGCAATAGCGTTACTTATTGCACAAGCATGACTCGAACATTTCACTTTGTCATTTGCACTTGCGTTTCATAAAACTCCAAATACCAAAGGATTTACGTGCTGTCGTAGACTCGCGGCTTGCTGCTTTTCATATACGAGAAATGGGTTTAATTTTGCACATTCACTTGAAGACAGATTTCTCATGTCCTTTTAAAAATGTCTGCTAATAATCAATGATATACATTTTTCATGAATTTCAATTTCGTTTCGATTTACACGCTCAACTGTCAATTGTCAATGTGAAAACTATGGGCAGTTGTCACAACGCCATGTCAATAAGTTGGCACCTCATTAAATAGTTGGCAGGGCAGGTCGAAAAAAAATACCAAACTAATTAACTTGGTATTTGTTTGCAGATAGCAGCTGCTTTTGTTTTGAAACTCTGTTTGGGGCAAAGTATTGCAAATAATCACGAAACAACCACAAATCTGTCTTTCTTTGACTGTGATTATAAATAACTAAATCGAATGAAATATTGCAATGTTTGGCATTAAGTGCATAATTAAAGTACACTTAGTCATAAATACCGCCACGAAAAAACTGCAAAAAAATTCCTGGATCTCAATTTTTTCTCAATTATTTGCCATACACAATTCAACAAAAATTACATACATAGATGAAAACCTCACATTTGGTGATCATGATCAGTGATCAGTCCATTCAGCAGGAACTGATCAGTGATCAATGATCAGTGATCACTTGTCCCTGGTGAATGAGCCCATTGACTTTATTTGTCGCAAATGTGTGAGATCGGGTCACGGATTTTCCCCCTTCTTGGCCGAATCTCCCTAAATGAATTTTCAATCCAATCTAGTATGTGCATAGTACACTGTTGTATTAAGCACACACTATCTAACAAAGACATTTATATTAACATTTAAGTAGAATACAAGTATAGATTGATAATCCATTGTTTAGTCATTTCTTGATCTGAGGAATGATTTTGAGAAATGCCCTAAGTCAGCGGTATGTATTTAACATATTTTGGGGTTATCAAATGTGACTTTAATTATTCAAACGCCAATTGTAGGTAAACGGTATAATATATTAGACAGATTTTCAATGCAATTTCAAAGATTAAACATGGTGGATTTTAGAAATATATACATTCCGTTAATTATCTATTTCCTCTTCAAAATATAACCCAAAGTTGATTTCCGTCCCAGGTGGACGATTTAAAATTTTGACCTGTGTAACTGTAACATTACTTGTCTCACTTATCTGCACTTCCAAAACAACTTATGCCAGACAGCTACATTTTGGTGATGATGAAGCTTAAACACATGGCCTTACAATTTTCGACATGCGCGTGGAAAAATATTGCAATTAAAGGTCAAACGAGGAAAACCAAGTGAACATAATAATAATAAAATTATGAAAGTAGCAACTTTTTGCAGTTCGCGAACCTGCGAAAGCGATCGACAGTCAACCAGGCAGCCTTAATTTATTCAAACTCTTCTTACTATCACACAGCAATCTAATTAATAGTAGTAGTTACTACAAATTGTCGCTTAAAATGAGCCAAATGAATATTTAGCTCATTTAGGGCGCCTTCCACTTGGACTCCATAAGCCATTGCTGCCTCTTTTGGTTATTACATGGGCGCAGCAACGGCGTGCTGGGGTCTTTGTGTGAAGCGCTTTGTAAGCACTGCCCTGTTCTTTTGTGGCGAATCCATTTTTTCTCCTTGTCGTAGGCCCACATCTGGTTATTTTCCGTGTTGCTGCAGTGCACCAGGGTAACTGGCCCACGAGTTCTAGCCGCGTGCAGGCACAACTCATCGAACATTATTTGCTGATCTGTGGTGTACGCAAATATCTGATTGCCCCCCAGACCGTGGCGGTGGCTAATACCCACCTTCTGGTTTTCCTGGCGACCCATGGTGTCGAGACAGGTGTCAGCTTCCACGTCACATATCTCACCCAGATAGTAATAATGGAGTGGTATTATACTCTCCGGATAGATATGCTCCAGATACCACTCGAAATTCTTGCAGTTAAGACGTTTGCGTAGCAAAATGCGATCACGGACATCGCCGGCAGTATCTTTGCGTGCGTCCGGGTACATTGCATAAAAGAACTCACGCCACTCATCCAGCCAGACCTCCGCGACGCGTGCCGCATTTCGGAGCAAGGTTTTGGATAAGCCGCCGGGAAAGGTGTGCGGCGTCGATATACGGAATACATGGCCCACGTGTGAGCAAGGAAGTTGCTCTAAAATGCCTCCGCATTGCCATATTCTAAGCGACATCTCAAGATTCTCGCTACCCCAGATATCCATTCCCTCGTCGTAGGTGCCAACCTCAAAAAAATATTGCTTGTCAATGGCAAATAAACCACCGGCCATGGCGGGCGTGCGCAAAGGTGCTGTTTTGTCGTAGGACCGACGTTTCTCCTCCCGTTTCGGGACCTTATACCACTCGAAATTAAGTCTCCAATTGAATCCGCCCCAAGTCGATTCCGATACTTGTTTGTACTCAAATGTTTCGTCCGATATGATATCAATAGTGGGACAGGCGACAGTATGCCGATTCTGCACAATGCGGGACAGCAAAGGCTCCAGCCAGCCCTCAGTACACTCGCAATGTGCGTCCAGAAAGGTGAGCACCTCACCGCTGGCTGCCTTGGCGCCCAGCAGACGGGACCGTATCAGACCCGAACGCTTCTCTGTACGCACCACAATGGTGGGAACAGATAGATTTGCCACATATTCATCTAACTGCTGGCCCAGGAATTCTCGGTCGCTGCCATCATCCACCAGCAATATCTCTTTAAGCAGTGAACGCGGCGAGCGATTAATGGCACTCCAGATGGTGCGCAACAAAGTAGTCCATGCTTCATTGTGGAATACTATCACAATTGAGGTGGTGGGCAGCTTTGAAGGATAGCGGACACGACGACAACACCTACTTCGCGGGTCTGGCAGCGAACGTGTCAGTGAGATCATATCACTGGCCAACAGATTAAAAACGTTTTCCTTGAATTTCAGCTTCATGGGTACTTTTAGGTCCGAGGAAATCCTAACAGGCCTTCCCATCTCCCCAGGCTTGCCCATAGACTCAACAACCGTTGGCGCCTCGATCCATTTTTTTAGAGCTTTGCTAGGATAGGTCATGGAAATACCGCCGAACACAAAGCTTCGACCCACGACATGGTCGTTAACAGTATTACCGTCTACCAATCTCTGCAATGGGCGTTCAATAACATTTGACATCTCCACATCATAGTCATGGGTTTGTTTCCAACGCCAGCCATCCTTGCCTATGCAAGTCAAATAGGCAATTAGCATAAAGTTAATTATAGTCCATGCGATAGAGGTGAACATAACGATGCGGTAAATATGAGAGCGTATACATCTCCGGATTTTGCGCACTAAGCCCAATATCGTCATTTCAAAACTCGCCTTTATTGCAACTCTTTTCACTATTCACTTCCGCACTCTACGGCCCAATAGTGATGTTAATCCTAGAATGAGCCTTAATTTGTGTCCTCAGTTCAGTTCCACACATCGCTATTGAAGGGAAAATGTAATTGTGTCTGTAAAGATAACTTTATAATTCTTACAACGATAAGTATCCTTGTTGTTTAGTTTCAAGCTAATTTGGGGGGAAAGTTACAAATACAGCTATTACTACACATATGCCCTTGTATTTAGACAGATGAAGATACAAATGATTGTCAATTGACAAGTAAGTCGTAACAACAAGGATATGAAAAATCTAAAAATATTTTATTTTATTTTTATTTTAACAAATTAAATCTAGTATCTAATACGGAACTTAATATTAAATTAAGGAGTGCTAGCTACTCGGGTCTTTGACTCTCTAAAAATATAATCGAACACGAAATTATTAACTATCAGCATTTATCAAACCCGAATAATCTTGGTAGAAGCAAACGCATATTTCATGGCAGCATACAATATTCTATCCCAGTTTGCCACGAGATTGGCCATACAATCTGTATACAATAGCAATCCCTTAGATTCGATCAATTCCATTTCAATTCTGGGGTTTGCGAGTCTATTCATAAATTATTTCATAAATTATTTCATCGGTTTTCTGTAAGTATCATGTATCAATGTATGTGGGGTTTTATTTAATACAATACAACGTTAATGAAAATAAAAACATGAAAAGGTGTGAATGAATATAATTAAGTTCGCTTTACTTTAAATCAAAAATGCACGGCCCAATGGTGATGTTAATCCTAGAATGAGCCTTAATTTGTGTCCTCAGTTCAGTTCCACACATCACTATTGAAGGGAAAATGTAATTGTGTCTGTAAAGATAACTTTATAGTTCTTACAACGATAAGTATCCTTGTTGTTTAGTTTCAAGTTAATTTGGGGGGAAAGTTACAAATACAGCTATTACTACACATATGCCCTTATATTTGGACAGATGAAGATACAAATGATAGTCAATTGACAAGTAAGTCGTAACAACAAGGATATGAAAAGTCTAAAAATATATATATTTTTTTTTTTATTTTTACAAATTAAATCTAGTATCTAATACGGAACTTAATATTAAATTAATGAGTGCTAGCTACTCGGGTTTTTGACTCCCTAAAAATATAATCGAACACGAAATTATTAACAATCAGCATTTATCAAACCCGAATAATCTTGGTAGAAGCAAACGCATATTTCATGGCAGCATACAATATTCTATCCAAGTCTGCCACGAGATTGGCCATACAATCTGTATACAATAGCAATCCCTTAGAGTCGATCAATTCCATTTCAATTCTTGGGGTTTGCGAGACTGTTCATAAATTATTTCATCGGTTTTCTGTAAGTATCATGTATCAATGTATGTGGGGTTTTATTTAATACAATACAATGTTAATGAAAATAAAAACATGAAAAGGTGTGAATGAATATAATTAAGTTCGCTTTACTTTAAATAAAAAATGCACGGCTTGGCTTATCGTTCCAAGTAACGAACTCATCTTCTTTTGCTTGACACATCTGTCGAATTCCACCTCTTTCTTCCTGCTGTCGCTTATCGTCGTCTTCTTCTCGTATATTCGTCTTCTTGCTTGTTGTCTAGGGCCACTTTGGGAAGGCAAAAGGGAAAGGAACAACACTCCTTCCCACATGTATATGAATTCCGTTCACCGATCTGTCTTTCCTTACAGAATATAAGAGCTAGAACACCAAACCTGATGTGGCGGTTCTCCCCAGTCTGAGAGGTGGAGAATTCGACACACCACTATTCTACCGCTCCACCAGTGGAGAGTGATGGTGTTACAACTATGATAGTTCTTGGAACTTTGATTACCCATGTACCAAAATGTATTTGTGTCGCAAAACTCTAAAGGAAGTTATATCCGCTGTTGTTATGGCTCTGATTTCAGAATACAGAGTATCAAGTAGAGCCCGTACGACTGTAACATTCGAAATATTTTTTAGTCCAGTTCAATTCCGATGACCAAGTTATTAATTGCGGTGCTTAATAATAAATATTATTAATCAAATAATAAGTAAAAAGAAGAATGTATGAACGCACGACTCTTGTATACCCTTTAGCTGCCGCCTCTGCCACAGTCATACTTGTAATTAAAAGAAAGATTCTTATAAATTAATGTACTAGTCACAAAAATGAAATTTCCTTAGATAATAGAATTAAAAGTGATTTGATTAGCCTATTTAACCTATTTTTATTAGATACGTTTTATTTATACGTAAATTTAAATTAATTTTTGTTTAATTTGGTTTACTTTATCATCAAAAAAGAAGAATAAATCGCTAAGACTGATTCATCAATCTCATATAGCAGCTAATAAAAATAGTGAGGCTATATATAATTTATAATAAAATTTGTTTTTTTTTTAAGGTGGTATTTTATTCTTTTCTATATTAATTGAACTATTTTTATAACAATAACTTACATTAATGTGTTTAAAACAAGTCCGCATGCCAAAATTGTTATCTCTAGATGATGAACATGGCCTTATCGATTCATCTCATTCTGTTTATTTTCCACACATGTTCTGCCTGTTACATAGACTACAAGAGTTTTAAATATACCCCTTTAGGTTTCAGACAGAGAGTATATAAAACCGTGAAAATTTTGCGGTCAATTTGAGCGAGAGAAAAAGGGACATAAATAATAATTCACTGTATGTATTGGTATTCCAATGGCAACTATTTATTTAATTAATTTTGGTTTAATATTACAAATGCCATTAAATTGCAGTGCCGACGCATAAAAAATGACAACGCCTGGAAAATAAATTTAAAATGCTAATTGCATTTTGAAAATAAATCTCATATGACAATATGGTAAAATGAATAAATGCACTTCATTAACGATGCTCTAACAAATGTGTGCATTTATAATTTACACTCATACGCACACACACAGACACACACACATTCGTAAACACATGTAAATCGCATTATGGCGGCACAAATGAGGTCACTTAGTTGGTCCCGCAAAGTGCTTCATTTGATCTAAGCCGGGAGTGTGAGAAACAGAGCGTTTTGAATGATGAAGCACGCGCTTCATTTGGGTTCTGTTTGTCATGCTAAAAGCATGTAATGCAAATATAATTATGGACTATATGAAACTATAATACTCTGATTTACAAAAACAAAATAAGCGTAACTAATGCAATTAATTGATGATGGAGTACTTCGGAAAAAATGAGACTTGTTACAAACATGAACTATCAATTTTTGTATTGCTTATCAATAAATTTAAAACGGAATACGTTCAAAAATGATTCTTATTCCTATACACATAAATTATTTAAGTTTTGATACGTATAAGTGTCAGTTCAAATAATTTTTTTTTTTTTTTGATTTGATTTCTTGGTTTGTTATGCCGGTACACATGTCCTCAACAAATATTGATATCATCAGAAAGTTTGATTCTCGTTTTTTTTTTTTGTTAATAATTAGACTACGTTTTTTTATTTAAAAAATTGATCTTTGGCTTCCACGACATAACCATATACGAACGTTTCTTCATTAGTTATGATCCTTTTTAGCAAATCTGACAATTCTTTTGGCCAAAATGTAGCAATTTCATTCCCAAATCTTTCGAAAACAGGGAGAACGTTACAGTCGAGCAAGCCAGACAGTAAAATACCCTATAAGAAAGGAAAAAATTAAAAAAAAATAATTTTTTAAAAGTCGCCTATTTGTAAACAAAACTCATATGTCTTTTTAATGCTCTTATTTGAAAACAATATTGAAAGTAATATTCAAAAAGAGCTAATCAACAATTATGGAATTACTCGGATAGATAGATATAAAACCAGAACATTTTGATAGCTGTTTAACTTGATCACATACATATATCAGCCTAATATTATACTATTTGAACTCCACATATAATAAGAAGCTTTTGTTATCGGCTGAAATTAATAGTAATCAGTTTCATTCCATAAAATCCAAAAAGGAGTCCCCAACGCTTAGTTTTACAATACTGTAATCAATTTTCAATCATCCACCGATTATAAAGAACTGATTTATTTGTATTTGTACAGCTCAACCTTTTTAAGTTTATTTATCTGACAAACTGGAACTGGCGAAAACTAAAACCATAAATGGTATGCTGTTCTTCATTTCAGCTGGTTTCTGTTTATGTTCTAGAAACATTTCACAAATATCTCAAACTAAAAAGTTGTGGAAATGGAGAGAGATTATATATTTTAAAGAGTTTGTTCTGTAACAAATGTTCATAAAATGTTAACAAAGAATAAGGTACGTCACATTTCAAACCCTTTTTTAAATGCACAAAGCCTTTTTAGTGGCTGTTCATCATTAGAGTGCATTCGCCACTCAACACCCAAAGGCATGGGACCTGAACAACAACAACGACAAAAACAAAAACACGTACAGCTTGCAAAATTATACCAGATTCCAAAATGTCATAGCAAAATGTTGTTCGACACATTTGGCAATAAAACAGATGGAACGAAAAAAGTACGGCATGTAATGCCAGTATCCTTTCACATTCGCAATTCTGGGAGCCAACACAAGGAAGTTCATGTGGGTGTCAGTTTTGCAGCTTAAAGCGTAGGCAAATAAAAACAAACAGCCGCACTACAAGCTTTGGCTTTGTATTACAGAAAAAGGACACAAAAAACGAAGCGAAGACAGTCAGCCGGTTTTGTATCTGTAAGATAGAAAAAGCTGCAGTTGTTCGTATCGCTTTGCATTGCGTGTCATGTCAAATTTAATGCTGTTGGATGCCAAATACAGTAACAGATAAAGCAACAAAAACGAACACTTCCTGCTTTCTACTGCTCCTCCTACTGCACTTGTTCTATATAGACACATACACAAAAAGAGCAGAAAAGGCTACAAAGAAAGTATAAATTGTTTTGCCAGTAACATGAAAAGTCAAAGGCTGAGACGCACCGAGCCACTTCCTAGAGTTCACCTAATAAAGAGCAAATGACTACTGAAATTGTTCGTATTTTTTAACGCAAAGTTGCTATTTTAATATCCTTTCCGTGATGGACTCACATCACAATCGTAACGAAAAAGTTTGTGGTACAATATTTATTTGTTATACAATTTATACCATGAAACTTAACAATTCTCTATAACCTAAATAAATTAAATAGATATTTTAAATTTCATAAAATATTATACAAGTAAATACTATAATTACAGTTTAAACTGTCATCTTTTAAACTTTAATGTAGTCCTCAAAATATTAAGAATGTAGAAACCTAAAACACATTATAATTTAGAATATGAGGCTATACATTCTTAGATATCTCCCTTCGCATCTTATGCCTTTAAGCTTGGGCTTGATATCGGAGTCTGAGCTCAATATAATGAGCATCTGTGCAGCCAAAACCCCTAAAAAGCATGTGGGAGTTATTAATCATATCACATCTACCAAAATTTCATATATCCCCATGCCTGTACTAATAAAATGACGATACAAGTTTTAAATTAATTTATTCGAATATAACGATGTGGACAATTGGATTAAATATTATTTATGAATTTAATACTAAATGGATTTCTTCATTCTTTATGAAGTTAATAGCTATAAATAAATTGAATATATTTATAATACAAGTTATATTATTATTCTATATCTTATTTATATATTTAATTTAATCCACTATAAATATGTTGGCTATTTGTCAAAACTTTGGTACCGTATAAACACTAAAATAATTACAAAATCAACTAAATTGAACACAAGCTACTGCCTATAGATTGCACATAGAATTTTCTACAAACACAGCAATCTAAATGAAATTTTTTAATAATTTGTTATATTGTACTAAAGTATGTATTCATTCACAAATTTCTTCAAACTTGAAACGAATGTAATTGCCCAATGAAATGTGTAGAAAGCTAATTGCACTTTCGTATTCATTGATTAACTTTAAACAGTATAATTACTTGGCAGTTATTAGTGTAGGCAACTGCTATAATTCTCAGTATTTTTCAACGATTGCTGGTAATTGAGATATTTTCCTCGTACGCATTTGAATGCAAAGGGCGTGTTGAAAGCTATGGGCATTACCTCTGATTAGACATTAGACATGCACGCAAGGCAAAGAAACTAGAAGGAATCGAAAATTATAAAAGGGTGAACAATTGCCGAGTAATGCTCATAAGTGAGGAATGAAAATGAGTAAGCAAGTGAAAGTGAAAGCGATGGAAGGAAGTAAAATCATTGAGCTGAGCAGCTTTTTAAAGTACGCTGATGCCTTTTATCTATCGATTGGCTTACTAGTCTATGACCGGGAAAAGGACAAGGGTACTCACAGCTGGTATCACTCGCTGCTGCACTGGTATTTCATCCTGCAGATGCTCAACTTGAATTTTGCGCTGGTGACTGAGCTCATCTACGTTTTTCTGGCCATCAGTGGTGGAACCAATTTCCTAGAGGCCACCATGAATATGTCATTTATTGGATTTGTCATTGTGGGCGAATTGAAGATTTGGCTCATTTGGCGGCAGCGCGAGCACCTAACTCTTGTGGTGAATGAGCTGGAGCGACTGCATCCCAGAAGCGCCAAAGAACAGGCAGTCTACAATATAAAGGATCATTTAAGTAGCTATAGCCGCGTTAGCATCTTCTATTTCAGCATGCACCTGCTTCTGATTTGGACATACAATCTCTATTGGGTCGCCTACTATCTGATTTACGATTTGTGGCTAGGCGTACGGAAGTTTGAACGCATGTTGCCCTACTATTGTTGGGTCCCATGGGACTGGACGGAGGGCATGAGCTACTATTTTATATATGTGTCGCAGAATATTGCTGGACAGGCTTGTCTATCGGGACAGTTGTCAGCGGATTTGATGATGTGCGCCCTGGTAACCTTACTGGTCATGCATTTCAGGCAATTGGGCTCACAAATTGAACAATTTAAGGCGGGCATTGGTACTGAAAAACAGGACATGAAGTTCCTTCACGCCGCCATTCGATATCATCAAAGATTGCTGCAGTTGAGCGATGATATCAATAATGTCTTTGGTGTCTCCTTGCTCTGCAATTTCGTTTCATCATCGTTCATCATTTGCTTTGTGGGCTTTCACATGACCATTGGCGGCAAATTGGACAATGTCGTCATGTTGGTGCTATTCCTATTTTGCGCCATGGTGCAAGTTTTCATGATCAGCAACTATGCTCAACGATTGCTCGATTCGGTAAGTGAAGTGATTATGCTTTTTTCGAAGTCCCTAACCTTAATTGAAGCGGTGTAGAACTCGTAGACTCTTCAGCCTTTTAACTTAAATAAAAGTTGACTGACCACTGTTCTTATGACAGTTTTATAACACAATGAGCCAATTTTTATGAAACTTCAGACTATTGTGATCATTACCTGATAAATATCCAATTTGGTAACGATGTCGAAGTAGGCTGAAAAATGTTTAGTTCTAAGATTAATTTGGGCTCACCCTATTAATTTTTCCATTGATCGGTGCTTTGGCAGCTATATAAAAAATGAGACTTTATAGTATAGTACGTATATATGTTCTTTATTACTTGCTATGCTTATGGATTAGACAATTCAACATACCACGTTTGTTACAGTTAATCAGTTCTCGGTCTTCATACAGACGGACTGGGGGATCGAAGGCTTTTCGAGATTTCCTAAACTAATATTGTATTGCGTTTTCATGAAAAAGAACATGACAAAAGACATGTTCATTAAATTTAAAACTCGGAAGCATACGGTTTTAGGGGCAATACAGCGTTAAAATTCTAATCGAGTTAAAAGAGTATTTGTAGCATTTATCAAATATAATAAAAAACAATTCTGATTTCAAGAACATAAAATAGTAGAGTGTAAGCAAACAAATGTTTTTCAGTTACTGGACTATAAGTTTTCAGAGGTGTTCCATTCCCCATCCAGCTGCGCTGTTTATCGAAACTTATAACATTTGAATTTAATTAGAAAGATATTTTTTAGGTAAATCCCCTTTAATATTTCAATTTAATGTCATTTGCAGAGCGAGTACATTGGTCAAGCTGTATATAATCATGATTGGTTCAATGCCGACATACTCTATCGCAAAATGTTGGTATTAATTACAAGACGCTCACAAAAACCGAGTCGTGTTAAGGCTACCAGTTTTCTCAATGTTTCATTAGTAACCGTGACGGATGTAAGCTATAAATTGAAAAAATATATAAATATTTCTGATTCGGTTTCCGTTGCAGATACTTCAATTGTCCTACAAGTTCTTTGCTCTGCTGCGTACCATGTATATGAAATAAACTACATTTTGTTTCTAGTATTTTAAACAGTCTCTATCTAATAGAACTTAGAATTCACAATTTATATCAACAATGGTCATGTTAACTAAAAAAAAAAAACAAAGAAAGAATTCAATTGGATTGTAAGATAAAAAGAAGAAGAAAGCATGTGGGTATACAAAAACGATTAGAAAATTTGAACAAATCGTCCATAAACATAATCTAATACAAATATATTTCATTCACAAGTTAAAAAATAATGATTAAACTAGCTCATGAGAATAACCTTAAAAAAGTCAAGTAAAATCAAAACATTTCAAGAATTTCCTGTACACACGGCTTAACCCCTCTGCACTAGACTTCTTTATTGTCAACAGGATTGCCCTAAACAGACTCACCGTTGAAACAAAATATGAGCTCGCATCGGATCACCTTCCAGTAGTAGCGACGCTACATCATGCACCGCAATATAATCCCAAGAGGGAATATATTCTACCACCTGGCTCCCGTATTGATGTTTTTAAAGCCGATCTCGAAAGAAGAATTAACCTGAACGTCGAAATTAACAGCCCAGAGGATATCGAAGACGCGATATCAATCCTCATGAAGAACATTTCACTGGCTGCGTCTTCTGCTGCACCGAAAACTTTACGCTTGCCAACCCAACATAGTCAAGCTAGTCTACCACCAACGGCTGCTGCGCTCTTAAGCCTGAAAAGAAGAGTCAGGAAAGAATATGCAAGAACTGGAGATACTCGCATTCATCAAATCTACAAAAGACTGTCCAATCGACTGCAAAAAGAGCTTGCTAAAATCAGACAAGGCAGAATTGATGACATATTGGAAAGTGCTGGTCCAGATGCATCATTTAATTACTCGCTCTGGAAGCTTACGAGGCGATTCAAGAGGCTGGTCATCCCTAAGACTCCAATTAAGGATCCTTCAGGCGGATGGAGCTATTCCAGTCAGCAGAAAGCTGAAATCTTTGCAAACAGCCTAGAGGAAAGATTTAAGCCTTTTGACTTTACATCAGCAGATAGGCGAAGGGTAGTCGAGCTTAGGCTGGAGATGCCATTCCAAATGGCCTTGCCTGCAAGCCCAGTTACACTGCAAGAAGTGGTACAGCAGATAAAAAATCTAAAGGTCAAAAAAGCGCCTGGAGAAGACCTTTTAGACAACAGGACGCTGAAACTGCTCCCCACAAGGGCTCTGCTGTATATTGTTTTGCTCATGAATAACATACTCAGGCTGAGGCACTTTCCAAACTGCTGGAAAATGGCGCTAATTACGATGATTCCAAAGCCAGAGAAACAGCATACTGAAGTAGATGGATATAGGCCGATTAGTCTGCTACCTGCCCTCGGGAAGATGATGGAACGCGTGATTCTGGACCGGATTCTCCAGCTCGAAGCCGTGACGCGCAGAATTCCAAAATGGCAATTTGGATTTCGAAGAAGTCACGGAACACCGGAACAGCTCCACCGTGTGGTCAACTTCGCCCTGGAAGCCATGGAGCAAAAGATGTACTCAGTGGCTGTGTTTATGGATATTAAACAAGCTTTTGATAGAGTGTGGCATGATGGTCTCCTCTGCAAATTGAAAGGCATACTAACTCCTCAATTGTTTCAACTCATCGAAAGCTTTCTAAGGGACAGAAGCTTCAGAGTTGCTGTTGATGGAGTGAAATCCACGAGGCGCTCAATTTGTGCAGGAGTGCCCCAAGGCAGTGTTCTCGGTCCTACCCTGTATACATTATTTACTGCTGATATGCCTGCACCGCAAGAGATCCTTGGAGTAGACGAGAATGACGCACTAATAGCTACTTACGCAGACGACACTGCGGTGCTTACCAGATGCAGAGATATCGATGTAGCTTCGGAAGCCTTACAGCAGTATGTAAGTAGTTTCGAGAAGTGGGCTCTGAATTGGAACATTGGTATCAACGCCAGCAAGTGTGCGAATGTCACATTTACAACAAGGCCGTCGTCATGCGGAGATATCACAATGTTGGGGTCCACGCTCAGTCATACAAATTCGCACAAATATCTTGGTGTCATTCTGGACAGAAGGCTCAACTTCAGCAAGCATACAACAATGGTCAAGCGATCGGTCATGGCAAAAGCCGGAAAGATGGCATGGCTGCTTGCACCCTGCAACAAGCTGTCTCTGCACAGTAAGGTGACAGTATACAAGTCCATATTAAGTCCAATATGGAAGTATGCGCTACCAATTTATGGCATTGCCGCTGCATCGAACCTAAATAAAATAAGAGTTGCGCAAGCTAAAATACTCAGAAAAATATGCAACGCTCCCTGGTATATGCGCACTAGGGACATCGAAAGAGACTTATGTGTCCCCAAGGTTGGCGATGTCATTCAAATGCACGCAAGCAATTACGAGAAGCGACTCGGCAGTCACCCCAACGCACTAGCGAGGCGGCTCCTGTCCAAACCTAAGAAGAGAAGATTGAAGAAGTGCCATCCAAAGGATCTCCCCACAAGATCCCTTGTATAAAATATATAATATATATCATAAAATATAATTTCATTTCTAATGTAAAACATTGTAAATATTGTATATATGTACATAGATATAAGTGCGTCCTATAGATGCTTACTATAGACAACTTTTGTATTCCCTAACTTTCAACTAGCTTAAGCTGCCATATTGGTAGTAGAAAACTAGTTTAATAAATTGTATATATGTAAAAAAAAAAAAAAAAAAAAAAAAAAAAAAAAAAAAGAATTTCCTGTAGATTTATTATTTTATCAATATTAAAATTAATTAAATTAAATATATTAAATTAAGTAAACAAGCATAAAATACGCAGAGGAATGGGTTTTATAATAAAAGTTTATTATGAAATTGTTCAAATATAATTTTTCTGTAAAAACAAACAATGTTATCTACTATAAATATATTTTATTTGTATTTTTCTGCAATTTTGTTAACATTTATTTGCTTTTTTAAGGTACAAGTATTTTGTCATGCATACTGCAATTAAATTATATATGTACCAGGTTAAGCCAATAAAAATCGCCACATTTAATTAAAAAAAACTCTTTCTAGCCAGCCACACATGCATATAAATCACTAAAAATTCAGCAGCTTCTTCAACCGGCACATTCAACGTACTGGTTTCGTTTAATTTGCTTGAAGCTATGGAACAAGGTCTGGCATTGTTGTTGAGGTTGTTGGTCCTGCCTGATCGCTCTAGGCTCTATTAGTTGCCCATGTTTATCTTAATCTACCACACTGTACGGGAAACAAAGATAAAGGGGCTAGCGTGCCAATTTTTGTTACCAAGCCAAAAATGTTGGCAGTTGCTGCAGACGCAACACTTGCTTTTCCCCCCTCCTCTCTCTTGAACTCCCAATGCCACAGTGCAAAACAAAGCAATTACCTATAAACTTTCATCTTCCCCCTACGTATTGCCAGACACATGTACTATATATATGCACACATATATCTACCGAAACGAACGAATGCTACATGCGCATGAATGGCTGTTTTGTTATTTTTTGTAGTCTACTTTTTTGGGCTGCATTGCCCCGCACATATGGACACACATACATATGGATGAGTGTGTGTATATGTTTCTGTTTTTGTTAGTTGTTGCATATTATCAAAAACATTTGTAGCCACATGGCAGCTATTTTTGACTGTGAATATGTTTGTGTAGCGTAGTGCTGCATTCATGTGGCGCGCTTGTTTTGAAGCTGGTTACCATTTTTGAATTTGTGCCAAATGCTGTTGGCTTTGTCGTAATTGTTACACTAACAGCAAAATGTGCAATGATAACGTCGCGTTATGCTGTTTTTGCTGCTGTTTTGTTGTTATTATTGTTGTTGCTTGTTGCACATATTTTTCAGTAAATGCTCACACAGCATAGAGACATGCATATGTGTTTCGAAGTATATGCAGTATCTAGAATGGTATGTGTTTGTTGTGCTTTTTGTTGGTCTTGTAATGAAAGCAGAAACGTGCGGCATTCCCAGTTGCCACTTCATGTTGCATGTATACTCGCAGCTAGCTTATTGGCAGCAAGCCATGCATATTCTGAAACCACATTTATACGAGCATCTATATATTTAAGCCCCAATACTGACGAAATGGAGTGACACATTTTAATCCATTTTTTTATATTTTATATTTATTTGCTCAAATAAATAATGTTTGCAAAACAACAATTCTGTGAATGCTTTGTACTTATCAAAGCCATTTAATCAAATTAAATAATTGATAAAATTACTTTGGTTGAAAACATTTAACGTACTAAATGAAAAATCGATTTTTAATTATATTTATTAAATCTGTTAAATATAAGAGCTTAAGCTTGTTTAATATTTCTCATACCGTTAAAAATATATTTAATATTATAAATAAATTATCATAAATTGCATAAAAAATATATTTAAAATTATAAATAAATTATCATAAATTTGTTCAACTTTCGATTAACACAATTTAAAAATGTCATACGTATCATTATTGCACTTTTCGACTTAAAAAGACTTAACCGATTTTAAACTATAGTACAGACATAGTTTGTAAAATGAGAATTTTTAAAATGAAATGTATTGTTCTAAATAGTTTATTGTCAGATTTCTAATCCGAAATTGGGAAAATGTATTTATGTAATATGCTTAAGCGTAATAATTATCTGGTTTTTCTAATTTGTTTTGTAATTATAATAGAGTGAATGCATAGTTGTTTGTTATAATAGAGTGAAGGAGTTCCCTCAAAAATGACCTGACCATACGATTTAATTTTTCGTTTGCACCCCACTAATCATTAGGACACCACTAGCAGTTTAATAAATATAAATGTAAATATTAAAATAAATGAAACATATATTATTTACTTATTTAATTATTTTGTTTAAATTACAAAAATGATCAAAAAAGTTGCCTTAAGCTAGCGTTATATAAAAAATCCAAGCTTAGAACAATATATTCTTATCTGAGATATGAATATGTACATATTTGAAAGTGTAACGTAAATCTATAATTAAATATATT